AAAGAAAAAGAGGAGCCGATGGCTGTTTGCTTTGCTCTAGACTTTCACAGTGATGAGAGGAACTCAGCTAAATAATTGACAACAAAGCCAGGAGAGGTGGATTCAGGCCCTCCTCGCCCAGCGGTTTGTTGAGTCATCACAAAGTATCAACGGCAGAATGTCAAACCATGCAGAAAAACTAATTCACTTCATGCAGAGGAAGAATACAGCTGGAGATAAATAAAGGTTCCTTATATATATTTTAAAAAAGGCAACCAGGAGGAAAAAAAATAGTAAAATGTAATTGTTCAGTTTTATAGTTATGTACCAAATAATTTGTTACACTCAGTGTATTAATGCTTTGATTATCTGAACCGGTGGACAAAATAATTTACATATTTAGTTCGTTTTCACATATGATTTCATAACGAAACAGATTTCCAATTGAAATCATGTTTTAAATGCATTTTTACATACTATTTATTTAATTATTTTGCAATTTTTCAGTTATAATGTTAAGTTCTTTTGGTCTTTTTAGAGTGTAATCTTTTGCTATTGTATACTAGCTTTACTGGTAAAGTGAAGTTCAACATTTCATGTGTTTTTAAGGTTTTATTACAAAAATCATTAATGTCTATGAATGTTAAAAAGCCTGAGAACTATGTGTCAAAATGTCCAGAGCAGCATAGCATGTGCTAAAACAGGGAGACAGCTGACTTAACACCTCCCTTGCTTTGTATAAGCTCACTCAACAGTGGTGTTATTACCCCTGACAGAAAATAGCCTTGGGCTCCTCCGATAAATGTCCGCCCAACCCTGGCCTTAAATTTCTTCTAGACACTCCTGATCCTTTTGTTTTTTTGGCTCTTTTTTTCCAACTTCTTGAAAATTGCTCAAAAAATACAACCTGATTCACTAAAGTCACACACCTGAGGTAATTTCTTTAGGACAAAGAATACTAATTTGTCCTAAAGTGATGAAAGTGATAGCCCAAAATGTGATTTGATTTGATTTTATTATTGGTGAGGAATCCAATAAGACCTGTATTATTGATTCAAAGGTTTGATAAAATGTTTGTTAGGTTTTTTTGCAGAATTTATTTCTTGTTCTACCATTATTTCAAAAAATGACGAGGCAGATTTCACTACAGATCCAAAATGCTTGCTCTCGTTATGGTTTTATGCCACAAATGAGAATGAGACTCTTCTTATCAAAATGTCACAACATCAAATTTAAATGTAGTAAATAATTTTATTGAGGCTCGAGATAACAGGCAGCACAGCTCAGCCCTTTTGATTCACCGTTACATGGCCTTTGACACAGTGGACTGTGTAAAGCAAAAGCCAACGCTTATCAGTATCACGGCCTCAGAACGTGCTGCTGGGTGGTTATACAACATCTTTCCAAGAAAATTGAGAATTTCAAGAAATTTATCTTAATGTAACCAAAGGTGTTCCACTGGGACCACTCCTGAGTTCACTCTTATTTGTATTCCATATCAACAAACTTAATACTGCCAATATTCCTGTTGTGCTGACACCAGAGTGCTATGTTTTGTTTCATTTGCTCGGCACAGTTAATTTGATTCCCGGTGTTTTATTTTAATCCTACAGTAACAAAACAAATGCTTATAGATGGAGACAGTTGCACTAGACTTTACCAAAGTAAGAATTTAATCAATGTCATAATTTCACAATCAATCCTAAGATTAAATTCATAAATTATTTAGGATTTAAAATATTTCTTAAACGTCACCTATTGTGCTTCCTTGAACAGGGTAGGATACGTCTATGGGTTATGCAAAACATATTTATTATCATAAAATCATTTCTAGACAATGAGATTTTAGTCTGCTCACCTACGTCTATTTGAGCTCTTTTCAGAATGAGCTGTTTTAATGCTTCTTGTCACTTTAAATCTAAATGAGCTGCTGGCCACACCCCTCCAGCTCAACGTTTACACTCACACATGAAAATGGCAACTGTGCATCTCTGAAAAGCAGAAGAAGAGCGTCCTGCACAACCAACAAAAACACAGCAAATAATTTCTGGTAAGTCCAAAATAAAAGACTTCTCTTTTCCAGCAGCCATTGTACGATGCACACAGCAGTAAAACCCAGCTGGACAACCTGGAGCTCAGTCTGGGTTACTAGGTAACGCCCGGGGCTTTGCTGGGGTTGCCAGGTGACGGGTAGCACCTGATTTGTGACGTCACATTCCAAAGGATTTGGAAATGGCAAATTTTTCAGACACAAAAAACATGAACTGTTTGCCACAACAAAAACCTGTTTTTTTTAAGGGCTTAGACTGTTTACAGGAGCATAAAAACGTGTAAAATGTGAATTTTGCATAATGCCACCCCTTTAAAATATATTCTTTAGGATTGAGAAATATTTAGACTCAAAGATAAATGTACATACATACATAATTTTTCACAGATTATCTATCGCTTATTGTCTCGTATATTATCTCGTTTGTATAAATAGCGAATATTATCTTGCTTATCATGACATGATGTTTACATCCTAAAGAGGAACATTTTGGGAGTTATGCGTCCTGTTACATGGCATAAAAGTAGCACAGCACAATAGAAAAAACAATATTGTGCTGAAAGTCAAACATGGTGGTTGTAATGGGAGTGTGTGGGACTGCTTCGACACCATATTATAGTTAATTGAAAAAAATTGATGTTAGCTGCTGTTCCTAAGGGTGGAACAGATTATTATCGAGGTTTTTTTTTTTTTTTTTACAGTTCAGCTGTACAGAGTGAATGGCTGTAGTGAACGTAGCGCCTTCGTCACTGTGGTTGTTCTGACTCAGCTCGACACAGGCACAGACTCGTCCACAGGTAGTCACGGCATTGGGTTTATACACTCTGTTCCTTTTAAATTCAACGAAGGCAGCGAACCTGCATTCCCACACCTGCCTGAGGCAAACACTGTTCACGTCTGTACTCGGTCAGAAAAAGAGACAAACTCAGACATGGAGGGGCGATAAGGTGGAGCGAGAAAAAGAGCAAAAAAACCCAACTGGATTAGGGAGGTCAAGACAGACACCTGCATACCAGAGGGGCAGACTACACAAATCTTCACTTCATACACATTCTCTGTACAGCTTTATGAACTCCAGAGGCAGAAAGCAGGCAAAGATAATCTGAAGTTTTCTGCTGTGGAGGGGGCAGCACATGCCACTCCCTGCACCTGTGCTAACTGACGACACATGTCAGTGTGGATACACAGATTCAACGAGATTTCCTAGAAACCTACAAGCTCCTTATGCTCAACATATTGCACTTACATTGGCCCACATGTAAAAGCTGAAACATGGTTCTTATTATCTTCAATAAGATAATAAAGCAAATTCCTGGGAACACAGAAAACATTGTGTTTATGGTTTTTTCATCCCCAGCGAACATGTTGGAATGGCGTAACAATAAAAAAGGTAGCAGGAGGGAATTGAAAGGAGTGCTTATATGTGCAGGTGGAATTGGAGTAATTTCCTCCTCTTCCTTTTGTGCACGCCTCACGAGCAAGGAAAAAGGAGAGCAAATGATCAATAATGAGTCTTACTTTCTAGGATCATCTGAAGACTAGAGGAGGTGACAGGTATGTTTTACACTGGAATGTGCTGGTTGGCCACACCTGTGGGAAACACACCCACTGAACCTGGTCTCTCACATCCTACTGGCTGCTCTGCCCAGTGACTGACAGATGTGAGAACATTTTGGCTCAAATGCACAAATGCCAGGGGGCAGGTATGGTGAATCCTAAATGAGAACCAATGACAGTAGAGAGATGTCTGGGAGCCAGGCGGGGCTCCGGGGAAATAAAACTCATCATTGGGGTGTGTCTCCAAAGTTTGTCAGCAGGCAAACAGAAGGGCTGCTGCGGTTGAACGCAACTTTGGCTGGTTAGAGATGAGCCAGTTCTTTGTCATACAAGGATCTGAGGGACCGGCAGAGACGGTTCCTGTCTCTATTGGCTGAAATGTGGAAGCAGCACACCATCTCTCATCTACTCTGAAGAAATTCCCCTCTCAAGGTTGGGGCTTGGACGACAGGGAAAGTGGATTTTGGAAAACCTGTGGTTGGACTATTGAAAACTTTGAAGTTTTAACTCCTTTCATCCTAGAGACAACAGACCCTTTATGTCACGCTGACACAGAGAAACAGATGCTGTTGTTGTCCTGTGGTCACTCACATCTCCTTATCACTTTTCCAGCCCAGCTATATATTCTGTATCCGTTGGACGGAGAACTGATAAGGGCATGTGCCTGACATTCACTTCAGGTTGCTGGTTCTGGAAACCCGTCTTAGCCTGTGGAGCCGTTTGTGGATTATTCATTTGAAACTCCTACGTAATGAATAAAGGCAAATCAACATGCTAACTTTTACAGTTAATTATTTAAATGTGTACGCATTTAAACATTTTTTGCCTAATTCTGTCTTTTGGAAACTTTTCAAAATGATTTAAGGAGCTTAACTGATAGATTACTGAGCATGAAATTTCCAAGCCAGAAAGCTAACAGCCTGACATGATACAGCATGGCCGACACAACTCTTTGTCACGGAAATCATAAGCAGAAAGTGGAATGCATTAGGTGAGTAATTATACTGCATTGTTGCATTAATCGGCCGATATGTGTGATTTCCATATTTAAGTTACAGTATAATTAAAACCAATAAAAAATAAAAAAAAATAGAGAATGAGATGACATACAGATAGTTTTGCTTTATAGAAATTGCTATGTATGAACTGCAGTAACATTCAAATATTTGAGTCAGAAAAATCATTACTATTAAAAGAAAGCTCTAGTTATCAGATTAATAATCCTTCCAAACATTTCTTTCATTTTCAATTTGAACATTTGAATCTAATTTTTTTGGTTAAAATACCCAAATATATATGATATAATTTAGGATGAAAAACATATAACAAAATTAGAATAGCCTGATTCAAATACACAACTTTGACAAAAACTGAGAATGTCTTTACATTTGAGATCTACAAACTGACACAAAAATGCCTCTTTTCTTTGGACTTTTATTAGTGAGAATATTACACTCAGTTACCATTACCACACACAGAAAATCTTTATATCAAAGGAATAAAAAAGAGCCTTGCCCTAGCATCGCAAACATTATCTCATATTAGGGCGAGCTGTGCAATCCTCTTGGCTGTATTTCTTCTTCCAATCTGTTCTGCGCCCCAGAGACGTTTACATTCTCAGGATCTCATCTCTTCTAAAGTGCAACAATCCTCCAAGCGCTGTCGTCACGGGTCAAGAGCTATTTCCTTTACAGAAACCTCTTGCTTCACTTTTTTTTTTTTTTTTTTTACTTCTTGAGCGGACATAGAACTGAACATAAAACTAAAAGTTGTCTTCTTTTGTAAAATACCGCCAATAAAGGTTTTAAAGCCTTCATTGTTTCTTGTGTATTCTTGAAAATCTGTAGCTTTGCTGTGAATTTAAATTGTTAATAATATTGCTTTGTGAAAGCATCCACAATCATCTAAATAATGGAACATTTGAGTGATAAATAGGAGTGTCAAAGTATATGGAAAGATAAGGCATAATTGCATGATAAATACCCAAATACTGGGTACAGTTCTTCATTCATATATTCATAAATGACTGTTTTAGTTTCCACAAATAAACCAGTTGGTGCTCACTGTTGCTTTATCACAAAAAAATTAAATATTTTTGATTACATAAAATAAGTCTCCAAACTTCTGTATTGTTAAGATCTTGTGCTTCTTAAACTATATCAGTGCCCTTACCTTAATAATCAAACAGCTTTAATATGTGCAATGGTTTCTTCTGATGAGATCTGATAACATTAGCAAAACAGGTGAGTAACATGGATATTTATGGAATATGAAAGCTAGTTGAGCTTTGCTTTGTCGCTGCAGGACTCTCCAGTGACTAGAACATTTTAAACTTGGAAGGAAGAAATCTGGTGATAACAATATGTTGCCTTACAAACTCTTCCAAAAGTAGTTTACAGAACTATCCAACTCTTTCTAGTCTGAGGAACAATGGTTGATTTGTGTTCTGCTGCTTTTTTATACTTTTTTGCTGTTTTAATTTGTTGCCTATAGCCTTTTGAGGAGCCTAAGTTTGATGGATGTTTGATTGAAACAGTCACATGTCTAACGCTTGAACTGCTTTAACTAACATTTTTTATTGACTAATGTTTTCTATTGGTATTAAACAGATCACAAAAAAGCCTTATGTCCATCCTCTTGACTACAAGACCTATGATGTCCTGTATCTGATAAATCTGAGTGAAAACATCAGACTGTCACAGTTTGGCAAGAACACATGTATTCTTACACCTCTAATACAATAAAAGAAAAAAAGATTATGCTTACATAAATTGTTTGTGATATAAAAATAAAGCTTAGCACCTCTTTATGGCAAGTGTTGCTTCAATAGAATAAGAGCAAATAGTGCAAATAATTGTGCTGGCTGAAAGCATTTAAGTGCTTTGAAATACAAGCATGTGAAAAATCTTAATTAATGCAAATACCCATTAGTGATTAAAAAAATATATTAAATTGAAGCTCTTTGTACTCCCATGTAAACAGGGTTACCGACTCCAGTGGAAGGAAGTGGCTACTGAAGTGAGGAAGCCATGTTTAGGAAAGACCGACCATGGAGGCACTGAGGTCCCACAACCTTTTGGCAGCAGCGTCATCTAGAGCTGGAGCTGCAGGCTTTTTGCGAGCACAGTCGCTGTACATGGGAAAAAATAAAGGGAAAAAATTTAAGAAAATGTCAGCAGAATTTTATCCTTCTTTTTATTGTGCAAAAAGACAGAAACAAAAGGTGTGGCTAAATTTCAACTAAGTCAAAGCAGATTTCCCCAAAAGTTACTGTTATCAAAATCCATGTTCACTTGCACTTGCCTATAGTAGAGGCCGCTCTCGTTTGCCAGACTCTCCTCCACAGCACAGTAGATGCTGGTTTGGGCTCCTTCCCAGGGATTTTTAACAATCATCATCAGGACTGAGGCAATCATCCTTTTCCACCAAGACCAATGAGGGAACAGGTGGCGACCTAACTCAGTGCGAATCAGTCCAGGGTGAAGACTGTACACCGTCACACCGGTGCCTAAAAAGAACCCGTTATATATAGTGTTAGCCACAACATGAGAAAACAATTAATGTGTTTTCACAAAGCTCTGCAAAACAGGGATGCACTGTATGTGTACCTTGCAGTCTTGCAGCCAATTCCCTGGCAAAGAGAATGTTTGCCAGCTTGCTTTGCCGATAGCTCACCAAATTATCATAGTTTCTATCTAGGTTAATGTCATCAAAGTGAATGCGACCTGCAATATACAAGTTTTTCGGTTCAGTGAATTATAATATATGCAGAAAATAGCTCTGTAAAACTCCATAGTAATACCATATGACCTGTAACGTGTGCAATGCTTGCAACAACAACAACACGACTTGGAGCTGATTTCTTCAACAGGTCAAGAAGAGAATTGGTGAGGAGAAAATGTCCCAAGTGGTTGACACCAATCTGCATTTCAAAACCATCTTCAGTCTTCCACTTAGGACACATCATAATGCCTTGGTGATAAGAAAAACAACAATTAAATTTATGATACTAAACTACCAGCAAAATAATTTATTGTGCCTTCTGAAGAGTATGTCTGCTGCAGGAAGGACAAACTTAGAAGTGCCACAGACCTGCATTGTTAATAAGGATGTCCAGGCGTTTCTCATTCTCTTGGACGTACTCAGCTAGCTCCCTGACAGACTTCAGTGAGGCCAGGTCCAGTTTCTTTACCAAAAGGTTATTGTTCCCAGTTTTTTGACGAATTTCATCTGCTGCACAGTAGGCTTTGGGAATGTCTCTGCAGGCCATGATCACTCTGGCACCTTGGCAAAAAACATAATAAAATTATTTAATAGCAACACTGAGCTATAGATAGGTGTGTGTGCTTGCACTGCGACTCTTTTTGCAGAATTATGAGTGTTATAATATGATACAATAGTTACTAATGAGAAAGGATATCAAAGATTTTAATCAGTTGGTAGATTTCTAAACTTTTGTGTATTTTTCAGAAGTACACAAAAACATCTCTTCATCTGACTGAAGAGATGTTTCAGTATCTCTTCAGTGAGATGCTGAAACATCAGCCAGCTGGCTGAACAAGAGTACTACACTGTTTCCTTACTTACAAGTTATACACATGAAAAGATAATCCTGGCTGCAAAGAACCCTGTGTCTTTTACTCTTTTTGAGACTGTGAAGCTGAACTTGAACCAAATAAATGCTCCTCCTCTACAGAAATTGATGACAGGCTGAAACGATAAGTCAGCCATTTGATTTAGGTCTGTTACAGAAGGGGCCCATTTCAAGGTTGCACAATTCAAGGATTAGAGTTAGAGACCACCCTTACATTTGCATCAGATGGTTCCAGGGCAGCTGATGATCAGCTGCATGGATGGAGGTAGGAGGCACTGCCATTCTTTACCAATCCAATAATGTATGACAATGATGTATGACAATATAATTTTTAGTTTATGCAGCTTTACTTTCATGTCAGAAAGCTGCTCTTACTGTTTCATGGTATTTCCATCTCCTTTTTGTGTGAAAGAAAACAAATAAACCCAAAAATCCCTTCTTCCTCTCCACAGAACATCTCACCCCTCTGAGCCATATCCATGGCTGTCACTTTCCCAATCCCAGTGTTTGCTCCTGTAATCAGGACTGTTTTGCCATCCAGCCTGGCCTTGCTCCGACAAACCCCTCCTGCCATCCATCTTCGCAAACCTAGAATCCCTATTCCTATGATAAGGAGAAAAGACGTTAACAAAAGATTTTATAGAATTGCATGTGATCTGGTATGTTTTAATTAGTGATAGATTACCACACTCATCCTAGTAGATATTTCACTTCTTTGATAACAACTGTAAAAAGATTACAGTGTTTGTCTCTGTTGTGATAAAATAGAGGAGCATGAACTGTTGTGGGTTCAAAGTACAATTTACTTTGACATTTGACCTCCATAGTGTGCATTCTGCACAGATGCCCTTTCTACTTTAAAAATAGCAGAAATCACCAAATGTTTCAAAACATGTGCTAAAAAAACATGAAAAAGACTTACCTGCAACAGCAGCGACTGTGAGACCCGTACGATGCGTCTCTACGAAGTCCTTCAGAACCTCTGCGTAGTTCTGCATATTTCAAGAACCTCTAGAAAAACTAAAAGCTGTGAAAAATTATAACTGATGCAAACTTGAACTTAAAACAATTTTTTAACATTAACTTTAAATTCTCTGGAAGAGAATTATGTCAAACCATTAAAAAGTTGCGGTTTCCCCTTCTTTATCGCAATGCTCTTAGTTCGCATTGAACTATCCAGGGTATTACGTAATGAGTACTTATAAACGGGAAAGGGGACGCTGAGGGCATTTGGATGGGATTTTCAGAATAAGACTCTAGATAACATGGAGATATTTTTGGTGCAAAAGTATTTATACTTTGCAACTGTGAAGGAGCAAAGGCAGACAAAAATACTACTGCAATTTATGAACAGAAATATGACCATATCTGTGCAACTTAAGCTGTGTTAATCATGCCTGCATTCAAATTTAAGCTGCTTTTTAGATGGACAAATACATGTTCAATTGTTTTGTTTTCCCTCCATAATTGTAATTTTTAAAACAAAAGAACAATTTTTGAAACAGCAAAACAAAGCACATTGTTTCTGTCAGGAAACCTGAAACACTGTTAATAAATTGGAATTATTGAGGAAAGTGAGGTTAGATTAAAATCACAAATATTGGCACAAACGTGTTCGGTTGTTTCTCTGATCTCTCTCTGATCCTTTGTCTCCAGAGGTTATTGTGAGATGCAGTATACATTTAATGGTTGCATTTGATTCTTAATAATGCTGTAACAACAGAAATTGTTCCCCAAATAGTTTTCTCTACAAAATGCTGTAGTCTGGTTTGTGTTTCTGGACACAACTCTCTCTGAAAACACTTTGCTCTACATTTAGCCCCTTCAAAGCTGACCCACATTTGCACTGGACATTTTCGTATGAAATAAGTCAGTGTGAGCAGGAGAGAGACTCCTCGATTTAAAAGTTATAATGGCAGCAGAATTGGATCTGAAAATATGAACATTTCTTGTTTCTCCAAGCAAAAGATGTTGTGTTTTTAAACATTAAATATCAAAAAAATACAATCAAGCTCAAAAATGTCTCCTTTTTTACGCAACAAACAGTACATATTTAAATTTCACATTTTGAAATAAACAATCAATAACTTATTCTGTTGTTGTTGTTGTTTTTCCACATCTGTTGTAGAGCTTATTTCCACGACCTCTAATTCTGGGACCAACATCATCATGTGACTGTAGGTGGCGCTGTTTCTGCTCTGCTCATAAGATATTCGGGATGGCAAAGCTGAAGCGAACAGTACGTCTGATTTCTGACTGTATCCACGGAGCCATGGAGTTTTCGTTACTTTCGCTACTTTCTGTTGGTGAGTTGACGTTTGTAAATATAAAAAGAAAGTCAAACCAATTGCTATTGCAATTAGAAAACAAGAAAAATGGGTTTGTTGATATTTGTAAAATAAGACTTAAAAATTGAGTTGGATCAAAAGAGTAAGTATCAATGTGTTTGAATGTGAATGTTTGAAGTAAGCAAAATAAGCTGAACAGACTAAACTAAGAGATTGTAGTTATTCCTGTTTAAAAATAAACTCAAATCACTTTTTTATTTTAACTATTGTTGCTTATCACTGGATTCCAATAATATTATCAAATTACAAACAAATGGATGTGTTTTTACCTAGATAGGTTAAAGGCTTGTTTAAATTTAATACTTTAGCAATCGGGCCATGTTGTGCTTTTATTTTGAAAAGATAGCCCTAAAAATGCTGTCAAATGTGGGAGTCGTCTTGTTGACTCAAGGCTTTAATTTATCTCTCAAAAGATTTATTCTTTATAAAGTTTCGTTAAGAATTACTTAACGAGGTTTATTTTTTAAAAAATAATAATAACAAACAACAACAAGTAAGTAAATAAGCAAACCGGTTCCCGGAAGTTCTTCGAGGTGGCGCCACGTCAGAGCTTCTCCTCTGTCACCGTCATTTGCAAACAGCATTTCTTTAGTCTTCTGCGCTTTGGTAACATTTTCTTTCACCATGCTCAGGCTGGGACTGCGCTGCTTTCTGCTGCATGTCGCTTTGGTTTTTGGGACGGAGCTCACGTTTGAACTCCCTGACAACGACAAGCAGTGCTTCTACGAGGAGTTATACAAAGACGTGAAGTTTGACATAGACTTCCAAGTGAGTTACCTCTCGACCTTCTTGTATTTTGAAAAGTCGTTCTTTAAAAGGAAAAAAAGGAAAAAAAAAAAAGTATTAAAATATGATCTGCATTATTGTTGAGTGTTACAAACATATGTTACAGGCAGGAGCGTTTCTAACATAAACTGCAACGGGGCATTGAATTGAAAAAAGTCCTGACCCAAAATTCTCTCTACTGTAGCCTATATAAACTTTAATTTTCCATGTTTGGGCATGTACTTTTGAACATTTCCAAAATGTTCTGCACTTTCACTGGCTTCACGTGCTGTCTTTCCTTGTATTTTGCTTCCAAATAACAGACTTTTGGATTATCTTTTAAAATGGAAAAAATAGGCCAAACTCATTCCTGAAGAACTGGTGTCATGTGTGTTTTTGTTTTGTTTCCCTGGTTCACACCTGAATCAAACAATGGGGCCTTCATAGAGCTCCTGCAGAACTTCGAGGCATGCTTAGGAGATTCAGTTATTTGAGTCTGCTGTTTTGGAGAAGGGATGCATCAAAATCATACATGACACCAGCTCTGGTGCAACACCCTTGCTTTGTTGCTTAATGGTCACAGCTTTTTATTGGAATTTGAAGGGGATTACCGGAGCAAAGAACTATTCTAGTCGATGTGCCCAAGGGAACTGGGTCTGGCAGCACTGTAAATATCTTGTCATTGACAGGTTTTGTAAACTAATGTTTACATATTTATGTTTCAGGTTATTTCAGGGGGCAACTACGATGTGGACTGCTTTGTCACTGATCCCCAAAACAACGTCCTGTACAACGAAAGGAAAAAGCAGTATGACAGCTTCTCTCACACCACAGCCATGCAGGGAGTCTACAAGGTCTGCTTCAGCAATGAGTTTTCCACTTTCACACATAAAATTGTGTACATGGACTTCCGGCACGGAGAGGAGCAACCTCTCCTAGAGAAAATGAGCAGCAGCACAGCGTTGACTCAGGTAGGTCTGGGGATCTTGGTGTTTGGAAACTATCCTAGAAGACAAATATGTACGTTTTTAGTATGACTGAGTCGGAGACCACTGAGGCTAGAAAAAATAAGAGTCAATTTAATGGACACAAAACAAATAAATATTATTAAATTAACCTTGCACAATATACATTTTTTAAAATATGTTAAACACATGATGTCTCTATTTGCTCCATTAACAATCTGTTCGGTGGCATGTTAAATACAATGACTGCTGTTCAAAACACTTTGATCATCTTTGATTTGATGGCTTATGCAGCACCAGGGTTAAAACATACTGGGTTCAGCAGTGGGACACTTCAGAAGAACTCCACTAGGTGGAGACAAAGTTATTTTGATGTATTTCAGTAGTAAATTAACATTTTCTTCCGTTGCTTATATCGCGATACTGTACTGTTAAAGGAGTTTACTATTTCAAAACACTCCAACATATTAGTCGAAACTGAGTAGCTTTATACAACTTTGAGTGTCAAATCATAGCAGGTCTCATGAAGGCATCACTATTTGACAATAGAAGCACTAAAGAACACAATATAAGTTTGTCTTTTATTTATAATTTCTTTATTTAGGGAGAAAATATCCAATATCAAAATTGGATATTTTGATATTGGATGTAAATTTTTCTGGCTTTGACTTAAGTTTAGATTTCTCAAATCTTAAGAGTAAAAATGTATATTTTTATTTTCAGTCAGAGATCAGTCTTTGTTTTCTTCACTGCAGGAACATGTATATCTTAAGAGTTTTCGAAATTGCCTTAATACTGCTGTGTTGGCAATTTCCTATTGTGAATGTATTTCTTTTGTTCTGATCCTTATTTCCATGTCCTGCTTTCAGTTGGAGTCGTCCTGTGTTGCCATTCATGAGGTCTTGAAGGTGGTGGCTGACTCGCAGACATGGTACAGGCTAAGAGAAGCCCAGGACCGCACAAAGGCAGAGCACCTGTTCGAGCGGGTGACATACTGGTCAATCGGAGAAACTGTTCTATTGTTTGTCATCGGTGTTGGTCAAGTAATGCTTCTAAAGAGCTTCTTTAGTGAGAGAAAAGGGTCAGTGGCAGCCACCACTTAATAGTCATCTTGATCTTCCATGGGTATGAACATTTTCCAAGTGCCAGCTTTCATTTGGTCAGATGCACATAAAGTATGATTTTTTTTTCCTGTTAACTGGATTCAATAGTTTTTTGTTTTTTTTTCTGACTGCTCAAATAGAATCCTCAAACTTGAATAACTTTTTGTTAACAAGCAGAATGTAAAAGCACGGTAGTTTTTTTTAAAAGTATAGTTCTTATGTTGTCATTTAATAGAAGTGAAACATGATTATTGTCAAAGTTTCACCCCGCAGCTAGATCAAGTTCTAAATGTGGAAAATAAATAAAAACCAAAGAAAGATTGTGAATGTCAGTTGAGATTGTTTTACTCTGTGATCTTAATGTTTTTGGGGTGCACCTATTGCAGTTTTCAGGCCGATCACTGATATTTCAAAAGCCTAGCCCGATGATTCAGATTATTTTTTTGTCTGATAAATCACTAAATATCGCAACTCTTTAAGTTGGCAACAGTACGGTGACTGTTACCAATCACACATGTGCAGGCCTGAAATACAGCAGCTGATTTTCAGACATTTTGCTAAGATTGGTTTCACTACCAAAATTCAAGAAATTAAGGCCAATTTGTCGGTGTATCCTTGTTGTAACAAGTTTTGAGATGTCACGTCGTGTTTTAGAAGTATTGTTTTTTGTTGTTGCTGTGATTCTTATTAACTGTATTTCAATGTCTGTCTTGTTTCAACTGCTTGATTTGTGTGTTTTTGTTTGTCATACAAAGAACAAAGAGTAACCACATATGACTTGTCTGTTATATTGAGCTGGAAACACAAACTAGTTTGAGATTAAAATCTAGGTGCCAAAGCTGTTCAATAAAATTTTCAGAAGGAACCTTTAATTAATTTTTTTTTTGTATGTTTAATTTCTTTCTTTTCACTTTTTAACTGCTGCTTTTATTTCAGGACATATTTGGTCATTGCATGTCCCAAGTCTACAGGTAAATAAAGATTATGCACATCAGTCTTAATTTTTTTAGGAAATGGGTGCCTTTTAAAATGTATTGTTTGAATTCCTGTGAAGTTAAATGAAAAGCCTATCTCAAGACATTCTGGTAAATCAGAAGGGGATTTGTAGTTTCATGTGACTAAAATTTTTAATTTAGGAACAATTGTAAGACTTTGGTGACTTTTGTTTTGTTTGCACTGGCTGCCAAAACATTTCATTGAAGGTTTTTTTAATTGTGAAAACAGATGGACGGGAAGTTTCAGCACCATGACTGGTCATGGGTTTTCATGATCAGTTGAATTTGTTTTCCCTAAGTAAGGAAAAAATATAGCAACCTTCTTTAGTCCCCTAACCAACAGTGTGCAACAGGTGAGGGAGGGGCATTTCTGTGTTACTCTATGCTATGCCAATAAGCTTTGATTTCTTTGCATGTAATTAAAAATACTTTAGTCACACTGTTGAAAGGATGATAGCAAGTGATTTTGAAACATTACCTTTATACATGTTGGGTCTAAGTATGAGTATGTATGGGGCTGTTTCAAGAGTGCAACTAAAATGTTAGTTTTAACGAGAGGATTGAAGTATTTCCTTGAATAATTTTTTAAGACAAGTCTCGGAGCAGAACATGTTCATTCCCATGTCACAGGTAGCTGTGTGACTGGAGGACTTGTAAAAACATGGCAGCACAAAAGTGTGATCAAGTACCGGTAGTAGGAAGATGTTTACTCTGCCTGAGGTGTGAAAAACACCCAGCTCATCTGTCCAACAAGATTATCAGGGGTTCTAAGGACTGGAATGTTCTCAATTAAGTTAAAATATAACCATCCATACAGTCTTGGACTGAAATTTGACATCAGTGCTGTCTTATTGGACATTAAGTTTGAGTAAGTTTTGTCAGTCATCATTTTATTACAGTTGGATATCAAGAAACACGCACAACTGTTGAAAATCATGATTTTACTAAAATCATATTTGGACTATTACTCCAAGAAAACAATTTTGCTTAATTCCTCGAGTCATTTGTTCTCTTTTTGCAAGTCTTGCTGTTTTACGCCGGGTTAAATTTACTGTCCACCCCTGGCTGACCCTTCCAGCCCCAGCAATGTTTCACACCAAGGGTGCAAAATGTGTCCCCCAGACCTGCCTCCCCACCCACTGAAATATGTACACACACAAAACAGTTACAACAACACAATGAAGCTGACAGAAATACCCCAACATCACCGAATACATTTTATAAGCATTTTAGTCGACTCGTTTTGTGATTATTTCAAAATTGTGAAGCCTTACTGAAATATGAAAGCAGTATAACATAAAATTAACTAGCATAACTGAGATTTTAACAATAGCTTGGGTTTAATAATGAAGCCTCTGACATATTTGTCAACTTTAAAGCTTCAGCATAATAAATAAAAATGCAGACAATAGCTACAATAGCAAAAGCAACATATATAGTTAGTTTATTCCTTCATTATCTCCTACATAAAACAATGGTTTCAAGGATTTGTTGTGAAATGGTCATAATTTGAAAAAAATAACAAAAAACTTTTGGGTCCAAAGAAATTCTATCAGACATTAACTGAAATCATCCCTGATTGTTCAGTTTGAAAAATGTAATAAGTACTACTTTGGGTCATTATGGAAATGTTTCTGTTCATATGACATGTTTACATTAGATCTTTTCAAAGTTTGACTTAGTCATAAGGAGCTGACAAGATATTTGTCAAGGTTACTTTGGTATGAACAATACTTTACCCTGTAGGCTAAAGACGTGGTGGCTGCAAAAAATGAGGCTTGTCCATTTCCAAAACATTTATAAAACCTTAGCATCTACAGTGAGAAACAGCTTATAGTGACAGTAGCTCTCAAGTTTGTCTTAATAAATTCTTGGCTCAAAAAACTGGCCAAATTCTACATTGTCTTGGAAAAGTTTTCAAGTTTGTTTCGTTACTGAATAGAATTCTGGAGTATGTTCCTAAAAGCTGCACATGCCTTGACCCAAGCCATACCATCTGCATGTTCATAGTCCTTTTGATGTATAAACCTCCACACCAGTCTCCAGACTGTTGCAGCTTCTACCAGGTTTTCTTCCAGGATTGTACAGAATGTCACTGCATCCATCTTCACACCAACTCTGATCATCTTCCATGTCCCCTTTGAAGAAAAGCTTCACCTTAGCATGATGTTGTTGCCATGTTACAACATGTGAATGGTGTTATCAAAACATTTTTAGTTTTCATCCAGATCTCACCTTCCTTCACATGATTTCTCCTTGTGACAAACTGAAAATGGAATTTCTCCCAACAAGGGCTTTCTCCTTACCAATCTTTGGAATATTGGAAATATTTTTATTTTCTTTCTTATTGCATTTACATTTGCGGCTCCTGTCAGTTTAGCAGGATGGTTATGTCTTGGTAGCTTTGCTGTTGTGCCATACTCCTTTCATTTTTGGGTGCTGGTATAACTAAATAATGCTCTGCAAGATGATTAGAACTATAAATATTGTTTTATAACCTACCCTCATCTAGCAAAATTTCAATTAGTTTCAATAGTGAGTTGTAACGTATCTTTTATAATTGATCCAACACACAATTTCTTTTGATTTCTGCCAGCGCATGCAGCATCTTAGAGGTCAAAGTGGGGTTGACGGTACGAAGGAGACCCAGACAGGTGGCAAGTAGCCCAGCCTGTGAGGCTGCTGTGGGTGGGCGTGCACCCGGAGGTGCCAAACTCCCAGCCTGGCTCCCACAGCCTCACCTCAGTCAAAATGCCTAAAAGGGCCGAGCTGCGGGTTCAGCTCTGGTTCACTCTGCCCTCAGTGTGACACAGTGTGCATACAACTCTAAGTCTGTTATGGTACATGGTATGGTAGTATGAAAACTCCCACTATTTTCTTAATTCCTGTATTTTGAGACATCTGGAACAGCCAAAGAAACTGATGTCCAGTCCTGTGCATAAATCCAAAGCAGGACTTCAGTTCTCAGAAAATTACCAAACGAGTTAATCTAGGCAGATTTATTTTTAAAAGGTTTAACATCAAATAAAAGGAATATGTTTTCCAAAATGGAGATTCATTAAAATATTCAATTTGTCTAGAAACTTGTGCACCATCTCCAACTTGTGGAAAAAAAACCTTGTCACTGTCTTCATAGACAAACATCTCATTCAGAGTTGTTGTTTAACTTCAACTGTGCTTCGACAGAACTACTGCAAAGATTCAAAGTTAAAGTCACTACTGGTGTGTCTTCCATTTATAAAATGCAATCCTACTACGAGCTTATCTCAGTCAAGAAGAGTGGGAAGACGGGGACAGAGTGGGGTTACCAGTCCAGAGCTCCTGCTTCTCACCACTAAGGTGTGAGGCGACACCTCCAGACTCATCAGTTCTCAGCAGTGTGAAACCTTCACACCTCTCCCTTAATTAGATCATTTTAGGCTTCATTAATCCTCGTCATATTTGTATTTGCATCTTTAATCATTTAATGCATCCATTTAAAGCCAAGAAGTACAAAACAGCACGTCAGAAGTGTGAGGTTCACCTTCATTTTTGAGCTCATATCAGTGTTGCACTGACGATGATGATGTTGTTGCTACTGCTGGTAAAAATTTGTGGGAAGTAAATTGTAGAAGATCATCAGATTAAGGAGATGGTGTCAGGTTCAAATTTGGGAGTGAAAAGAGGTCAAAGGCAAGGAAATGTTGACCTTTTATCTCCCCAGCATGATGGCAGATTTAAATTTATAGCTTGTGAGGAATAGCATATATGCTTTACTTTACTTACTACTGCAAGTGATGATAGCAAGAAAAGAATGAAAGCAAATCTGCTCAAAATCTGTTTAGCTTTAATGAGCTGGAGGTGAATAAATCTGCATGTGCATCCTCACTTTAACTTAAATGTTTAACCTTCTGCATGCTTTCAACAAGTCCAGCATCTGTTTTTCGCAGATTCTGCCTCAAACCTTTTGTAAATGAAAATGTTTATGTAGCTCCATGGTGTGTCCAGTTCATTTGCTCTAGCTCATGCTGGGAACAAAAAAAAAATAACTTCTTTCCATGGAAACATGGAAACATCTGTAGCCAAATGGGATCTTGGTGATGCTACTAACTCATGTTACCAGCTTTGTTGTGTTGACGTTTTTAGAGAATTGCATACAAACTCATTTGTGTTACAATTGAAGTCCAGATTGAAATCAACAAAAGATTTGTGGCAAAACTTAAAAACATTTCACAGCCGTTTTCCATTTAACTTGTCACAGGCTGTTCTGCAAAGAAGACGAATCACAGTTTCTAAATGTGTAGCACTGGCAGCATCATCCATCAAAAACTTGCACTGAAAGACAACTGTATAAAATAGATTGCTGAATAAATACCCCAGATTTGTAAAAAGAATTGAAAACTATGAATCCTTTTTACCCCCACATCACATTTGTGTTTTTTGCTCTATTAAACACTGAACTAGAAAACATAAAAGCACAAAACATAAACAAATTAATGCAAGCTTTTGCAAGGCAATGTGCTCAGAATTTGTTTTTTTTCTGTGGATTAATTCTTTACAGCTGACCTCAGCTGTTCCAAAATGAACAAAGTAGAAGATGATTCACAAACAAGACGCTGAACATGTGCAGAATGCATCGGGTGTCCTGGTGAGACAAAACCCAGAAAAAATATAAATGTTTGTTGTTTTCAGCAGGAGTCAAAATTCACACTTCCACTCCTGGAGCTGGACTTTCCCAGAGCACAGAGAGAGGCTGCAGCCGAAAGCGAGGCACTGTGAGAGGGTCCTACTGCTGGAGCGTGTGTTGTAGGTGTGTGTGTGTGCGTGTGTGTGTGTGCTTAGGGGCAGTGGCCTCTGCCTTAGACAGCGTGTAGTCAGAATCTGCAGAGGTGTCACTT